AGAAGGAGTCAGAGCGTGTGGGAGGCTGGAGCGTTAGATTTGATCTCTCGTGGGCTTCCCGCCCACACTGTTTCCTGCCAGGGCCCAGGGGTCATCCCTGTCCTTTGACGTGAAGAATAAATGGATGACTAGGAACGCTCAGCACTGGGAGGAGGGGCTGGGACCCTGATCTCTTTAGGGTGGGAGAAATTCCAAGAGGCCAATCCCAGGGGGAGACAATTCAGGGCCAGAAGAAAGAGTGTGGGCGTCGTGTCAGGCAGGGCATGTGATCAGGTTCAGGGAGGGGTGACATGCAAACAGCCCCCCTAGTGGACAGTCAGTCCATTTACTGGATGGTCCCAGTTCTCTGACCTGAGCCCTAGGACAGACTCAGAGCCCTTGAAGGGCGGGAGTCTGAGACAGGCCCGTCCGACACCACAGTGCAACCTGTGCGAGTTCCTCCTGTCTGTTCCCCTGCGTCTGGCGTGTCCCCTCAGATCACAGGGGACTGGTCAAAGGAAACACAACACACCCAGGACTGGTGGATACTGGCCAGAGTTACACTAATTCCTAGGCCCTATGATGACCCCGAGTGCCACTGTGGTCCACTGGTGGGGGGTGGGTGGGGAATTGCTGGGGGACAAGTAATAGATGAATATCTGATTTGAGTTTACCTTACAAGGGTCCATTGGAACCTTATCCTCACTTGGTTATCATTTTAAAAATTCCTGGGTATATAACTGCAACAGGAATTCTTGGAAGCAGCCATTGTTCACCCAGACCCATGGACAGGGGCTGTTCCAGTGCGACAGGCCAGTGCAGGCCATTGATTTTATATCTCCCCCCAAATATTTAATATTTAAATAAAAATCATATAGAGATTGGTGCCATCATCTGGACGTACAGGGGCAGGCATAGAGATTGCTATGACGCACTTACTCATCTGTCCAGTGGCGCATGCCCAACAGTGGTGCGTCTTGGAAAACAAAGGTGAAAGCTCATAAACCTGCTCAGGTCGAAACCCTGATGGAAGGTGCCAGGCCTCAGGCGTTCTTGTTAACGAAGCAAATGAATACAGCAGGCATCCTCAAACTATGGCCCTCAGGGTACATGCGGGCCACCTAGCACATTTATGGGGCCCTCCGAGTGTTTTTGCTGCCACTGCCTGTCCTGCTTAGCAGCCCTCTTGTCCCGGGCCCACAGTGCGCACTCTCCAACGGTCTGAGGGACAGTGAACTGGCCCCCTGTTTAAAAAGTTTGAGGACCCCTGGAATACAGCCTCCAGCTCTTGGTAGGTATCAGCCGGGCTTCTTGTCAAGCAAAGATACCAACTCTGGTTTCTTTGGGGGGAAAACAGCAGGGTGACATTTATTGGAATGCTGTCATAGGCACCCCTAATCAGCAGGAGCCTGGAGACTAGGCTTGGAAAATAAGTTTAAACTGGGACAGCAACGTGGCGTGAAAGGCTGGGGGCACAGGAATCTTGCTGTCAGGCGATACGGCCACAGCACCGCCCTACCACTGTGAGACGTCATCTCTGCTGGTTCGGGACACAGTCACCCCTGGCACCGCTCTCCTCTTGGGCGGCCCTGCAGCTCTCACTGGGAGCACCCAGGCTTTGACTCACTGGCTCCGGATTCAGGGTTCCACGTGGAAGCAGCTGGTTAGCCAGCCTCGGTCTTGTATGGAAGCCCGGGACACCAGGGTGGGGTGGGGAAGGAAGAATCTAGAATCCAGTCTCGTTGGCGTCACTTAGGGAGGTGGGGCCAGCATCTCTCTACGACTACACATGCTGGGGAACCCCTCAAACTTGGAAGAGGAGAGTAGAGCTGAATAGCTCCCTGCTGTGGAACAAGTTCATTATATCCAGGGGCCCAGAGTGTTGGCATCTTTGATTGCAGAAGGCGGACGCCTAACTCTAGTTTGTAAAAACTGAATAGAGATAAATGACTAACAGCACCGAAAAGACCCATGTGGGCTGAATTCAGGTGCTTAAACCAAGTCCTCAGTGCTCAGTCTTTTCAAATTTTGCTGGGCTGTTTGCCTGACACACCTGCTTCAGCCAGAATTGGACAGCTGTAGAACACCTTTTAAGGATGTTCCTGGAGAACAATAGAAAACACCTCCAAGTTCACTCTGACCGGAAGGGGGGGTGTCCTCAGGCTTTGTTTCCTAGGTAACAGCTAAGGATTTGGCTGGAAGTTCAGCACGTTAGAAGGAATTAATCTGGAGGTTTGGTGACAAAGATATTTCGGGAAGAAGTATATAGATGGAGCTCTTGGAATGAGCCAGAGGTGAAAAACACTCCTGTCCCATGGGAATGCTCACTAGAAGTTCTCCACTATCAAAGAGACTCCCAGTAAGCAAGGAAAGCAGACGCCCCTCGCTGCTACCCGTCTCCCAGGCAGTCCAGTGTTTTCAGAATGGGCCCCGTAGCCACATGCCTGATGAAGAGGCTATTTCACCCACACAGCATGGTCCTGATGAATCCCCAACCCCAGAAGGGACAGGCTCAGACCTCATTGACGTGGCCTGAAGGGGACTCAGCCCCATGTCTGAGGTTGAGTGCCGCCCCTGTAAGGTGTGTTATGCCCTGCACCATCCCAGTATGTAGTGCATTTTCTTTCATAGCCAGAATTTGGATCCCAAATGGATCTGGACAGTTAAGAGGTTAAGATGAGGGCGACAGCTCCATAACTGCGCATCATGGGTCACTTTCAAACGTTTTGTTTTCAATGCCCATGCCTCCGGGGCCTTTGGGTCTAGAGGTTTTAGCACCTAAGGCGGGAGTGGTTTCTGGATGGGCCGTTTCTGGCTCCCCACGCTGCTTGGTGCACAGGTGGCAGTGAGGTCGTGGGGCTGGGCGTGCGAACTGAGCTCGGTTTTCTAGAGGAAGTCACATTGCTGCTACATGGCAGGACAGGAGGGACAGCGCCAGAACTCGAGAGACGCCCTAGGGTTCCTTCTTGTGCTACTGCAACAAGTAGGCAAGGGTAACAGGAGATTCCACAGCCTCACTGAGAGGCAAGGCCCCCGAGGGGCTCAGACCCCATAAGCATGCATTTGCCCATAGGTGAGAGGAGAGGGAGTGGAATAATCAGTCATGTGACACTCACAGAATGGTCAGTGGTAGTTGTAGCCTTGCTGTAACTCTTTGTTTCCTACAAATATTTATACACACACACACACACACACACACACACACAATGTTGAGATAAGAAACCCCAATAGAGCAAGAGAAAAATCGACATCATGCCGAAGTCCTCCCTCCATGATATATAACCTCAAGATGCAGCAGGAGGAGATTATCAGCTGCATCTCTAACTGCAGAAGGGGTGAGTGCATTTGCTGGGTTTTTTGGTTTTTTTTGAGACAGAGTCTCGCTTTGTTGCCCAGGCTAGAGTGAGTGCCATGGCATCAGCCTCGCTCACAGCAACCTCAACCTCCTAGGCTCAAGCAATCCTCCTGCCTCAGCCTCCCGAGTAGCTGGGACTACAGGCATGTGCCACCATGCCCGGCTAGTTTTTTTCTACATATATTAGTTGGCCAATTAATTTCTTTCTATTTATAGTAGAGACGGGGTCTTGCTCTTGCTCAGGCTGGTTTTGAACTCCTGACCTCGAGCGATCCGCCCGCCTCAGCCTCCCAGAGTGCTAGGATTTCAGGCGTGAGCCACCGCGCCCAGCCTACATTTGCTGTTGCACATGGGATTGTAGAGTCCGTAACAGGTTAGGGAGAGCCATCCGTGTCTGTATGAGAGGAGCAGTGCGTGCGTGTGTGTGGCAGCTGAGGGCTTGACTGCAGAAGGTAAGCACTAATTCAGGTGGCTGCTTGACCCCTTGAGAGTTTCTGGGATGACTTTGCACATCCTGTGTCTCTTGTTCCCACTCTGGGCTCCAGCCCTGACACTCAATGCTCCACAACATGGAAATACACAGAATTAATGACCAGCAGGGCAAGCCCCCGGGGGATAGGAGCGGCGGTTGGATGCCTCCCTCTCTCCTCGCTGAAGAGGAGAATTCTGAGGACATCCCTTGAAGGCTTCCCAAAAGGTCTTGGTAGGCCCAATCGCCCCCAAGGGTGACCCAGTCAAGAGCGTGTCCTTGTATCCACTTTTCCTCCTCCTTGCATCACTCCTCCAGTCGCCCAGTCCTGCTCCCAGAATCACTTCCCAGATAAAACCCTTTGCGTGTGGCCAGGTGCGGTGGCTCACCCCTGTAATCTTAGCACTCTGGGAGGCCTAGGATGGAGGATGGCTCAAGGTCTGGAGTTCGAAACCAGCCTGAGCAAGAGCGAGACCCCGCCTCTACTAAAAAAAATAGAAAGAAATTAATTGGCCAACTAATAATATATAAAAAAATTAGCGGGCATGGTGGCGCATGCCTGTAGTCCCAGCTACTCGGGAGGCTGAGGCAGGAGGACTGCTTGAACCCAGGAGTTGGAGGTTGCTGTGAGCTAGGCTGATGCCACGGCACTGTAGCCTGGGCAGCAGAGTGAGACTCTGTCTTGAAAAAAACAAAACCCCTGTGTGAGAGCCTTGCCCCTGCCTCTGCCTGCAGGGGCTCCAGCCTGCAACAGGCGGCTTTAGGCACTGTGAAGGCTTCGGGCTCCGTGCTGAGAGCCAGGGCAGCCACTGAGGAGCTGGAAGCGGTTGCCTCATCCGGCAGTCTATGTTCTTTGTTTTTTTTTTTTTTTTTTTTTTTGAACAGAGTCTCGCTTTGTTGTCCAGCGCTACAGGTGGAGTGCACGTGGTCAGCCTAGCTCACAGCAACCTCAAACTCCTGGGCTCAAGCGATCCTCCTGCCTCAGCCTCCCGAGTAGCTGGGAGTACAGGCATGCGCCACCATCCCCGGCTAATGTTTTGTATATATATTTTTAGTTGGTCAATTACTTTCTTTCTGTTTTTAGTAGAGACGGGGTCTTCCTCTTGCTCAGGCTGGTTTCGAACTCCTGACTTCAAGCAATCTGCCCGCCTCGGCCTCCCAGAGTGTTAGGATTACAGGCGTGAGCCACCGCACCCGGCCCGGTCTATGTTCTTAAGGGCCAATCTGGCCCAGTGTGGAGGATGGGCTGGGGCAGGGGCAGTGCCACACAGAAAATCATTCTGGAAGATCTTGTAGGGGTCTAGGAGTGAGAGCAGACTGGATAGGGATGTTTGCTGCCTGGCTGTCTCTCTCTGTCCCTCTGCCGCCCGGTGACTCTACAGCTGCACACAGGCCCTTCTGATCCTAGTCAGCCTCATGTGCCATGTGTCACTCCTGGTCCCTGGCCACTAGATGGGGACCACACCTGTGCTCAGCCCAAGCCAGCTGTGCACAAGGTTTGCCCATGGGCCCATGGGATGCCAGAGTCTGAGGAAGATGACAGGCCGGGAGAGGGAGAGCCCAGGGATGAACAGGAGGGGAATGGAGGATTTGCTCCCTGAGATCCTAGAAGAAGGTTCAGGAAGGGAAGTCAGGTGCCCAGAGCCCAGGTGAGCCCATCATGCAACACAGCAAAGGCTCAGGTTCAATATTTATTGAACTAAAGTCTATAGAACACAAGACAGAAAGAGAGAGATGGATGTGACATATCTTGTCCAGCACCCTCCTCACCAAGTGATGAGGAAACTGAGGCTCAGGGAGGTTTTGTCTTTGATCCCAAACTGGTTAATCTCCTCAACACACCACAAGGTTGCTTCAGCTCTTCCTGGCATCTAGTTTCACTTTTCTTTTTCCAAATCAACCACAATCCAACATAGCATTTAGAATTTTACTGGAACTTCATTAGTCCCTGCTTGTACCTGGCCCCAAAGAGGGCCAGTCACTTGCCAAGCCCTCTACCAACTCTGTTGCCCTCCCACCACCAGTACCATCACCGCCATCACCATCATAACCACCATCAAGAAGCTGCTGCCTGACTGAGACATACCAGTGGAAGACAAAGGCGAGCTGATACTGGGAAGACGGGGCTAGAGACCATCACCGGGAAAGACTCGTTCTCTTTTTATTTTATTATTTCAGAATATTACAGGGGTACAAACGCTTTGGCTACATAAATTGCTTTTGTACAATTTGATTCAAAGTTATAAGTGTGCCTGTGCCCCAGATCCTGTACATTGTAGCCGTGAATTTACCCATCCCCTCCTGCCCTTCCCACCAAAAGACTCATTCTTGCTGGACGTCAAACCACAGGGAAGATCATTAGTGGAGCTGCTGTTTCTTCTGATTCCAACAATTCGCCTTAGCTTTCTCCCATTTCCAATTCTCTGGTTTTCCTGGCTTCTCATGGCTCGTTCCTGCACTCCTCCCCCTCTATTCACCCCACAATATTCTCTTTAGCCCACAATGGATGACTTCTTCCCATTCCCCGCCCTCCCGAGTGCCCTCTCTCCCCGTAGCCCAGGCTGCGGCGTTCCTGCCTTCCCCTTGGCCCCCCTGCCATCTGCATTGACGCGGCCTTGCGGTGCTCAGCTCCACAAATGCCAGACTCCTTAACACCCAACCCGGTTCCCAGGGCTTGTCTCACCCTCTTTCTCCCTCCAACAAAGTGTCGCATTTAGTCCACGCCTTTGCCCAGCACACGTCCTCTGACCTCGGCACTGCTCTGGAGGGTCACCGGGCCCGGCCCCGCTGCAGAGTCTCATCGAGCTGGGTGAGCTGCTCCAGCCGCTTCTCCAGTGCCCCGGCCTGCCGCCTCAGCTCTGCAGCCAGCTCTGCCTTTGCTCCCTCCTGCAAGTGCTTCGACTTTTCCACAAGGCTGAACATTTCCTTCAGAATAGCTTGAAGTGCAGTGGCTGAGCCCATGATCCTGTCTTCTGTGGTCATCGAGAGAGCTGTGCCTGCAAAAGCTTTCCGCGCGCGCTCACTGCCTTTGGCCCGGCTCGTCTCAGTGCTCATGAGGCGCTTGGCACCGGCTACTAAGTGAGGCTTGGCTTTGGCTAACTGGATGGCGTTGATGGTCTTTCTAAAGCTTTCTATGTCTTGGTAACAATTCCTGATCAAGGAAATTACTTTGGCCATGTTCAGTTGCTCAGCCTCCTTCCCCACCTCTGCCACGTTCACCTTGGTTGACAACAGGCTGCTGGCTTGGCCTTTTGCTGACAACACGTTTGCGTGTTCCACGAAGTGGGTGGAAACACTGGTCAAAGCGGCCGCCGCTCCCAGCCCCAACCCAGTTGCCGAGAGTCCCAGACTGACCCCTGCTGTCACAGGTGCCAGAGCCAGGCCAAGGATGCCCAGGATGCCTGAGGCAATGCCGGTGGAGCTGGCCACCACATGGGAGATGGTGCAGTCCCTGTGGACCTTGTCAACCTCATCTGCAAGGGCGTGGAGCTTTCTTATGTGCTCCTCAAGCACCGCTTTGACCTGAGGAAGCTTGTTCCCGAAGCTCTCCTTCTCCTGCGGGTCTTTGTGGAGCATGTCTTTGTCCTCTGTGGTCGTGTCTGCTGCAAGATTGTTCAGAGCTTCACGGAGTGCATCCGCCTCATCCCTGTGACAATAAGCGTCAAGTGATTTAAAAAGACAGCTTTCTTATCTATAATGTGGGTTAAATACGATCTATCCTGCTTAAATCACAGAGCTTTTACTATAAATCATATGGAAACAAATTTTACAGATGCGAAGAATTTCTGTTTAAACGTTAAACACCTTTTGCACAACATAGATGCTCTGTATTACTTATTCAATAGAAGAATAAATACGTAAAAGTCATCTTAAGATGCTCTTTAGTGGTAGGTATTTGCTAAAGATGCCTTCTCACTCAAGGGCAGGGCAACACCATCGCTACCCGAGTATTTGCAGAGTGGAAACTCCAGAGCTTCACATGTGTGCACACCAAGGCCATGTGCAATTTTATGCAACCTGGTAAAGACTCAAGAGACTTTAAGAACCATCTATATGGGCCAGGCATGGTGGCTCGCACTTGTAATCCTAGCACTCTGGGAGGCCGAGACGGGTGGATTGTTTGAGCTCAGGAGTTTGAGACCAGCCTGAGCAAGACCCCATCTCTACTAAAAATAGAAAGAAAATTAGCTGGACAACCAAAAAGATATAGAAAAAAAATTAGCCGGGCATGGTGGCGAATGCCTGTAGTCCCAGCTACTCGGGAGGCTGAGGCAGTAGGCTTGCTTGAGCCCAGGAGTTTGAGGTTGCTGTGAGCTAGGCTGATGCCATGGCACTCTAGCCTGGGCAACACAGTGAGACTCTGACTCAAAAAAAAAAAAAAAAAGAAGAGGGTGTCCTTAGCCACAGGCACAGAAGGCTGCTTGGAGGAGGTGCACCTGCTAGGAGGAAACTAGCCCAACAGGGAGATGCAGGTGGCATTTCTGAGGCATGACATGGAAGTACCCCATGGACGTTACCTGGACAAATTCACCTTGGCCATGAGTCCCTCCCAGGCTTCATCATCTGTCAGCAGGAGATGATATTCTCTGCACACTGTGCCCCGGAAAAACTCAATGACATCCTCAATAAAGCTGTTGCTCTCTGCTTGGAAAGAAAACAGGTGGGGTAGGCCATAAATGGCACTGAACATGAGGTGGCTACATGTTAACCATCCTGAGCAGGTCTCGTGCGGAGTGCTTGTGTGGGGTCGCCCGTGCTGGACACTGAACCATGCTCCCCCGAATCTCGTAGGTTCAAGCCCTGACCCCTAGCACCGTATTCGGGGTCGGGCCATCAAGGAAGAAACTGACATAATCCTACAGGACTGGGTCCCATGGCAAGGAAAGGAAGAGACACAAAACCTCCCAATCCCTCTTCCCCAGCCCATCCTGTCCCCAACCCATCCCAAGATGTGGCTTGGTTGCCATGGCAATTCAGGGAAAGGAAGACAGTCCCGAGGAACCAGGACTTAGGGAAATGAACTCAGCATTGATGATGGTGGCTGGAGGTTTGATTCAGTTTTTCTTTTTCCTTCTTCACTAAAAGCAGGAGGGACACCAAGGTTTGGAAGGAGGGAGCCTGGAGCACGACTCTGCGTATCTACTGATGGGGCGAGGGGAGTCTGCAGGGCGTTACAGCAAATTCAAATGAAGACCAGGGTGAAAAATTCCTGGCCAAATGAAACCAATTGGAATTTCAAAATAGCTTAAACCCGAAACATATGCGAAATTTAACTTGAGGCATTTCTGTTGAATGCCTACGTAAGGAACGAAACTTAACCTCAGCCGATCATGGGCAGCCAACTACCATAGGGCTACATGACTAGGAACTTTCCAACAAGGTAAGCCCAGAAAGGCGATTTAGTGCCTGCAACCGATCACATAATTTCCTTATTCTACTTCCATACTCGCCCCTAAACACCGGCCTGCTGTGCCCGTCACTGCAGCACTAAGCATCTTTCCGTTTGCTGCTTCCCAATTCATGAATTGCTTCTTGCTTAAATAAACTCTTTAAAATTTTACTGTGCCTTAGATTTTTCTCTTAGGAGGGGCATTTGATATCATTAGAGTCGGTCTGTGTCTGAGGCAGTCACACCTGGTAAGCAGCAGCTTACCTCCCCACAGGGGAGGGCCCACCTGCCTGAATAGGTTCCAGGTAGAGGGGATGAGAACCAACACCTAGGGGGACATACTGTGTGGCAGGCCCTGGTCAGGCCATGTACACATGTTATGTTTGATCCTTAGGACAACTCGGGAAATGTTAGTTTCATGTTACAGGTAAGGTGGGGAGCTCCAGGTGACACAGATAGGATGTGTCAAGGGCAGACCGGGGTACAATTCAGGGGGAATCTGAGTCACTCTCCCCTCTGAGCCACTCCGAGCAGGTGGGCTGGCCTCAGGACAAGAGCTGGAGGGACGCACTCCGTGGGTGACGCTCCAGGGTCAGCCGGAGCAGCGCAGTCAGGGAGGCGAGAGGTCAGGGTTGCTGGTCTACCTGCTCTCCCCACCACCCCTCACCTCTTGTCCCCAGGTTGCCTTCCCCACTGCCCTCCCTGGCTGTCCCCCACTTCTGGCAGGGGCAGGAAGGAAGCGAGACCTGGGCTACCCCGAGGAGAGGGCCAGGACAGAGACGCCCCTCAGACGCCTGGGTGGGGAGACGCCACTTGGTCTGTCTTGGGGCTCGGGCCCTGCTCCGCAACCTCCTTGCCAGCCCTGGATTCCTCTGCAGGTTAACGCAGCCTTGGAGGTGCAGCCTCCACTCTAGGTGGCGAGCAGGAGCCAGCCAGAGAGAGGAAGAGTGACTACCTGGGCCGGCCCCTCGGGCTCCGGAGGTCATGGTGCCACCAGCAACGGTATCTCTGGGAGGCGTCCTTACAGCTCGCAGTCTGCGTCCAGGCTGGGCGCTTTTGCCTCTCCCTTGGGGAAGAGAAAAGAAATCGTGGGATGGCACGTGAGGCAGCCGAGGCGGGAGGGAGGGCGAGGGGCCAGGACTTCAGCAACTCCCTGTGCGGTGGCAGCAAGCGCCGGAACAGACTTAACCCAGCGTGCTGCCCCGTCTCCTGGCTCTGCCAGCTGCTGTTTAAAGACGGTGACCTCAGTCCAGCTTCCTCTGCCCGCACCCCATGCCAAGGCAGAGTCCTTTGTCCCGCTGGGTACAAGGAGACGAAAGAAGAGGAGACAGCCACCTGATAATTATAGAAACAACAGAATCTAAACACAGAAGCAAAGACAGGAAGGAATGTTCTGGTAATTACCTGGGCCAGGGAACCTTTGCGTTTACCTGTGGACAGTGGCTAACATGTCTGGAGTGTCCCTGATGGGCAGGGCTCCGTGCGTGCCCCCCATTACATGATCACGCACACTCCGCGACATGGGCACAACTGTGGCTCCTATTCTAAAGCAGAAAGAACCCCAGAAGTTGGGTAACTTTCTTGCGTTTTCGCAATAATGCTAGAGTCGGGACTTAACCCAAGTCTTTCTGCAACGACTACGCTCTACTCTCTCAAATATAAAAAATACTTATTCATGTATATATGTTTATCATAAATGACCCTTCTCAGTTCAAAACGATGTCTTGCACCCTGTGCGCACGTCTGTGTCGTGGCTGCGTGGGGTTGGAGCAGTCACAATGCGGGGCTGGGGACGCCCGCCTCCCTCCTTGCCTTCCCCGGAGGGCCTCCCACCTAGGGCCTGGATCCTGCCAACAGCGGCGTCGGCCCCTTGGCTCGGCTCCTGGGAGGCTGCTCCAGTTCTCCTGTCTGCTTTCTGGGCGTAGGCTGGCGGGGATCCTGAGGCGTTCAATTCTTCTTCGTGTTGTGCTTTCTTCGTTTTTTTTTTCCCTGGAGACAGTTTTCCAGCACTGCAGCTCATTCTGTTCTAGCCACCCGCCAAAAGACATCGGCGACAGCCACCTCAACTCCTGGGCTAATAAGCTCTTTCGCCCAGCCCTGCCTGATACCTGCGGACTAGCAGATACACACCACCGCATTCCCTGCTAATTTTTTTTTTTCTTGTTTTAGACAAGATTCCACCTTGTTGCCCAGGGCTAGAGGATGCCGGGCGCCGCAGCCTGGCTCACTAGCCAACCTCAAACTCGGCTGGGCAGCGATCCGGCCTGCCTCAGCTCCCGAGTAGCTGGGACACGCATGCGTCCACCATCCAGCTAATTTTTTTC